TTCACTCTTCCCAACAGCACTAATCTGGGGGAACTAAGCAATTAACACATGGGTCTTTGGGGGACATTCAAGATCCAGTCTGCAGCAAGCAGTAGTTCTCTGTTCCCACCTCCTCCACCCCTGGAAACCACTATTTTACTTTCTGTGTCTATGAATTTAACTACTCCAGATACTTCATATGTTATCTCTGTGTTGTGTGTAATCATACAATATGTGTCTGGCTTATTTCACTTAGCACAATGTTTTCAATTATGTACAGTTTTTCAAAAAATGTAAATCTTACTCAACATCATCTCATAATCATTTAAATTTTAAAAATTTAGATAGCAATATATCATACATATGCCCCCCCACTTAATATATCATACATACCCATGTATTTAATTGAAGGTAATATTTTACAGCATTTGTCTCATGATTACTTTTGTAAATCTTTACTGAGCCATGTTCTGCTGATTAATAACCCAATTTTACTTGCAGCTCACATACAAAGAGAAGCAGTATAATATAAATGTTAATACGCAAATAAATGCTGTAGCTGCTGGCCTGAATTCAGATTAAGATCCACCACTAGTTGTATGACTGTAGACAACTCACACAACTTTCTGGGAGTTAACTTCCTTCACAAGAAATTGGGAAGATCCTAATAGCATCTACCTTATTGCTACTGTCAGGAGTGAATGAGTTGGTAAATGACTTACACTGATTCTAGTAACTTCTAATTGTTAATTCATTCAAGACATAACTGCAATTTCTTTGCAGCCTCTTTCCATTTCCTTCTACTAGCCTCATGTTTTAAAACTTTAAAACATCTGGTTGATCACTACTGATTTCCTCATTTGTCAAAACAATCGGGTCTGGCTTTGGCCTTTGTCAGTCAAGAAGAGCTAGCAACTGCCATGCACAGTGGTGCACACCTAGAGTCTCAACGACTCTGGAGGGTGCAGCAGCATTGCTCGCTGCTCCCAGCCCTCATGCTTGGTGCTCCTCCCAAAACACATGGGAGGTTTTACTCAAAGTGAGGTCCCAGGAGATGGAGGGACCTCAAAGAAGCATTTCACAGTGTTCGGGTGTGTAAGGGTCTCTTATAGTAAGGAAGAGAGAGAAGAGGGAATACAACGAAAGCCTAGACAACTCCAATCTTGTTTCATCTACTCCTGGCCCTTTTAGGCTTCTTTCCGCTTGGTTCCTTCCCTAGAAACCAAACTCTAACCTCTTGGGGCCAGCATCTGCACATTCTGCCCATTTATCTCAGCGAAGAAGAGGAGGCAGTGGTGGTTATATCCTCAGCCTAAGGAATTTTGGAAAAGTAAGTTGTCCCTAAAAGAAGAAAATTCCAACTTCTTTTTTTTAAAATTAATTTTATTGGTACATTTTAGGTGTACAGTATAATGACATTCATCATTGGAAATTTGTACCTTTACATAATCTCTCTTGGTTCTTATTTTTTTCCCATTCCCCTGGTCTCCCTTTAACCCCTCCACCCGTCCCTATTTACAGACACTTTGTTTCCATTTTTTCATTTTCTCATATTAATTCCATTCCCTTCTTTCCTTTCCCCTACCCCTCCCGCTTCCCCTTCCCCTTTGCCCCTTTTCTTCCTATTTCACATTATCTATTATAACTTTTAGTTCTTATTAACACTTTCAGTTTCTCACACTAGAGAAACTACTTGGTATTTACACATGTGTGTCCTATTTATTTCACTTAAGAGTGTCAACTCAATGTGCATCCATTTGGCTATGTCTCTAATTTCTCATTTTTTATGGCTGAGTAGTACTCCATTTTATAAAAAAAAAACCAGTCTCCAGTTGATGGGCAATTGGGCTGCTTTCAAGTTTTAGCTATCACAAATTGTGCTGCTATGAACATGGGTGCACATATATCACTGTGGTATGATTCTTTTAACTCTTTGAGGAAGATACCCAGCAGGGAGTAGCTGGGTCAAATGGGACTTCCTGTCCTAGTGTTTTGAGGTATCTCCATACTGATTTCCACAGTGGTTGCACCACTCTACACTCCCACCAGCAATGGAGAAGGGTTCCTTTCTCCCCACACCCCTGCCAGCATTTGTTATTGGTTGATTTCATGATAGCAGCCATTCTTTCTAGGGTGAGGTGGAATCTCAGTGTTGTTTTCATTTGCATCTCTTGAATGACCAGTGATATTGAACAGTTTTTCATATGTTTATTTGCTATTTATTTCTACTTCTTTGTCTGAGAAACGTCTGTTCATTTCAGATGCTCATTTTTGGATTGGGTCTTTAAATTTGGGAGGTCTGATTTTTTAAAGTTCTTTATAGATTCTAGATAGTAGACCTTTGTCTGAAGAACAGCAGGTGAAGGTTTTTTCCCACATTGTGGGTTGTCTCTTCACACTGTTGGTGGTTTCTCTTGCTTTGTAGAAGCTTTTTAATAAGAAGAGATTTCACTGGTTGATTGTTTGTTCTAGTTCACAGGCAACTGAAGTTTTGTTCATACAGTTTTTTCCTACACCAATATCTTCAAGAGTTCTACCTAACCTGTGTTCCAGCTGGTTCAGCATTTCTGTTTTAATATTTAGATCTTTAATCCATTTTGATTTTAGTTTAGTGCATGGTGAGAGATACAGGTCTAGTTTTAATCTTTGGCAAGTTGAAACCCAATTTTTTCACCACCATTTATTAAAAAGGCTATCTTTCCTCCAGTGAGAGTGTTTGGTTCCTTTGTTGAAGATGAGGTGGCTGAGTGCGTCTGGAGTTGTTTCTGCATCTTCTAATATGTTCCACTGATCCTCGAGTCTGTTTCTTTGCCAGTACAATGCTGTTTTTAATCACAGTACCTTTGTAGTATAGTTTCAGGTTGGGGGTTGTGATACCCCCTGCCATGTTTCTGTTGCCTAGAAATGCTTTTGCTAGTCTAGGTCTCTTCTGGTTCCAAATGAGTTTTTGGATTGTTTTCTCAAGGTCCATGAAGTATGCTGCTGGAATTTCAACTGGGATTGCATTGAATCTATGTAGTACTTTTGGAAATATGGCCATTTTCACTATGTTGATCCTTCCTACCCAGGAGCAAGAGATGTCTTTCCATTTTCTGATATCATCTTCAGTCTCTCTTTTCAGAGTGCTATAGTTTTCAGAGATGAGGTCTTTTATTTCTTTTGTTAGGTTGATTCCTAGGTATTTCAGTTTTTTGGATGCTTTTGTGAAAGGAATTGTTTGCCCTATTTCTCTCCCAGTGAGTATGTTGTTCTTGCAGAGGAAAGCTATTGATTTTTGTGTGTTGACCTTGTATCCAGCTACTTTACTAAATTTGGTTATTAAGTCTAGAAGACTTTTGGTGGCGTTCTTGGGGTCTTCTATATAGAGTATCATGTCATCTGCAACTAGTGACAATTTGACTTCTTCATTTCCTATCTTTATTCCATTTATTTCTTTCTCTTGTCTAATTGCCGAGGCTAATGTTTCCAGAACTATATTGAACAGGAGTAGTGATAGTGGACATCCTTGTCTTGTTCCTGATTTTAGTGTGAAGGATTTCAGTTTTTGACCATTTAGTATGATATTGGCTGTTGGTTTTTCCTAAACGGCTTTTATCAGATTGAGGTAGAGACCATATATTCCAATTTTTTGTAGGGTTTTTATCATAAATGAGTGTTAGATTTTGTTTAATGCTTTTTCTGCATCTGTTGAGATGATGATATGGTTTTTGTTCTTGGCTCTCTTGATACAGTGTAGTACATTTATTGATTTGTGTATGTTGAACTATCCCTGCATCCCTAGGATGAACCCCACTTGATCAGGGTGTATGATCTTCTTGATGATCTTCTGCATTCTATTTGCCAGCACCTCATTAAGAATTTGTGCATGTATGTTCATTAGTGAGATTGGCCTATAGTTCTCTTTTGCTGTTGCGTTTTTCTCTGCTTCAGGAATCAAGATGATGCTTGCTTCCAGGAATGAATTTGGGAGTACTACTTCCCTTTCAATTTCATCAAAGAGTTTAAACAGTAGTGGCAGTAGTTCCTCTCTAAATGTCTTGTAGAATTCAGCAGTGAAGCCATCAGGGCCCACAAATGCTAACTTCTAAAGACCTAATTTGCCCTGTCAGTTATAGTGGGAGGAATGCAAGTCAGGTCAGGCTGGGCAATTTAGCAAGACTCTGTGTCAAAATAAAAATTTTAAACAGAGGACCGGGGAATGTAGCTCAGTAGTAGAGTGTTTGCCTATCAAGAATTTATTCTCCAGGACACCCTTCAAAAAGCCAGAGACCCCTTGCCACCCCAGCCAGAACCCCCGTGGGGTTTCTCCCTAGGTGGTCACTTCCAGCCCTGGAACATACAGTCAGTACTCAGAAGTCCCTTTATGAATGGTACCTGCCATTTGCAAATTCTACCATACTGTTTGAAAATTGAACATCACAGAACCCCCAGTATAATTTAACAAGGGGATGAGAAGGTAATGCTTTTTAAATTTGTACGTAAATTCTGGAATGATTTAACTTCAAGGAAATAATTCTAATAGCTTCTCCTCCATCCTTCTCTCATCCCCAGTTCATTAAAAGAGTTTTGCCTGAATGTAATTACTTTTTAATGTCATTTTTAACAGGAAAGATGTCTTATAAGCCAATTAGATGGCAGTCAAAAGATGAAAGGGAAATGCTTATCTTACTTAAGTATTAAGACAAATGTTTTTCACTGGTGCTGCTCTTCAAATAAAGTGCTAACTACACATAATTTCTTATTAGAGGAAAAAAATCTAAAACAGGCAAAATAATTTCTGTTATATGGTAAGGGTTCAATAAAGCCAGTGATGACATTAACTTTGCAGCAACTAATATGCATCTGTAGTTCCGTCCATTCACATACACAGGCACACAAGGACAGACATGAAATTTGGACACCCTCAATAATTCAGGTAATTCATCAGTAATAATTCACCGGTTTCCTCTTTCCCCAGTGCACACTCACCTCTTATTGCAGTGGTATGTATATATTGTTTTTTGCTGCCCATGCAGACCCAAGCTGGAGCTGATTGTGTGGACATGCTGCCCTCTGGAGGACGTTGGAAAAATTGCATGTTTGGCCAAATGAAAGAACCGCCAAGATAAGAGCTCAGCTATCACATTACAATTCTATTTAACAGTGAATAGATGAGGAGAAAACTATGAAGGAGACAGAAGAGGAATGGCCAGACGAAACACTCCAATAGGTCCTAGGTCAGCGAGGAACACCAGGTAGCCTCCAGTAGATATCTGTTGATAGATTAAGAGGATAAGTCTTGGGGCTTCACGTGGTGTTGGTTCCTTGGAACTCGGAGTGGAGCTAGATGCTGGCAATGGCAGTGACCGAGTAATTCTGCATAAGAACAAGAAATCCTGCTGAGTCTTGAAAAATTTGAATATTCATTTCCAGTAATCACTTAATTCACTCAGCACTGTTAACAAGGTGTGAGGCTTCTCTCCATCAGCTCTTTGAGTTACAAGCATTGGAATAGCCAGCCATTTTCCACTCAGAGTTAAAGGGTTTAGAGATGAAATATGTATTCTTGACAAGTGCAATCCAGGCCCTGGAAACCTCACTTCAACCAGGCATCGATATTTGATGCGCAGTAGCAGTTTTTCTCAGATTAATTTCAAGAAGGAAATAACAAGTTTTTTGGGAAGGGGCAAGCCAGAGAGTTGAGAATTTAGTGTAGAGGTAATACAATTACAGGTCAGGATAGACAGGTCCCTGGCATGTTTGCCAATCTTCTTGCAGAAAGATTTGCAGCTTTTAGCTACACTTGTTCCTAGTTTACTTGTCATAAATAAGATTAGCACCTTTTCCCAGGACACAAGCTGTTGCTGAATGAAGAGATAAGACAAGATGCTACCAGGTGCCCTCAAACTCCGAATCAGGCTTCAGTCTCCTTTTCCAGCCAAAGCTTAAGGGGGAAAAGGATATCAAATCCCATGTAGAGGGTTTTCCTAGAGTGAAGATAGCTTTTTTGCTTATGTGATGCATAGACGATATTAGAGCTGTTTACAGGTACTTTGGCCTTGTAAACATTAACAAATTTCTTCAAAAGATGACTAAATAGGAAAAATACCATTTAACTCATGGAAAAAATGAAGGAAGACCCTGTATTAAAGTCACTTTGCATATTATAGGACAAAGGATTGTAGGAATTAAACTTACCTGGGTAGGACAAGATCTAGGGTGGTTCAATGGTGGGGATGTTATGGAAACAGAATGTCAGACTAAACCCTTAAGTGAGTGATTCTCTAACATTTGGTAGGAAACTGCTGCAGTTCTCAAGAAACTCTGGAAAATTATACCCCAAACTTGGTCCTTGCTGAGATGCTTGAAAACCACTATGAACCTTGTGTCTGCTGTGGCCACCATGACTTTCTGAAGAAAACCACTTCTCCTTGCTTCCTGTTTCCAAAGCTCAGATGTGTTCCTCTCATTGAAAAACTGAAGTTGAGCTATACAAGCCAGGGAGGGGGAGTGCAGTAAAGGGAAGTCCATTAAGAAGTGGACGGCAGTGGTGCAGAACTGACAGTGGAACAAATAACTCAATCCCAAACCCTGAAATTCTACCTCCTAATTATGTGGGACTAATTGTTTATTCATTCAATAAATACTGAGTACTTACTATGTACCAGACTTTGGGTTAAGTGATAGAAAAAGACTTAACTACCAATATGTAGAAGGATTTCTTCCTGCCTCTCATATAAGAGACACAACGTGATATTTAAGCTTGTGGGTCTGTTTTATTTTACTGAACATTGTGGTTTCAAGTTGCATCTATTTTCCTACAAATAATTCAAATTTATTATTTTTATGGAAGAGTAGTACTCCATTGTGTATAAATACCATATTTTCTTTGTCTAATAATCTGTGGATAGACATATAGGCCACTTCTAAGATTTAGCTACTGTGAGTTGTGCTGCTATATACATGAGTATGCATGTATCATTGTAATATGACATCGTTAACTGTTTAGGGAAGATACCTAGAAGGGGCATAGCCGGGTTGAATGGAAATTTTAGTTTTAGTTTTTTTTGGAATCTCCATATTGATTTCCACAGTGGTTGTACTAGTTTACATTCCCACCAACAGTATGGAAGAGCTCCTTTTCCCCCACAGCCAGCATTTATTATTCTTTGATTCCTTGATGTTAGCCATTCTTTCTGGAGTAAGAGGGAATCTCAGTGTTGTTTTAATCTGCACTTTTCTAATAGTCAGAGATATTGAACATTTTTTCATGTGTTTGTTGGCCATTTGTACTTTTTCTAAGAAGTGTCTATTCATTTTATTTTCCCATTTTTTGAATGAGTCTTTTATTTTTGGGGGGTGTCTAAAATTTTTGGGTTCTTTGTATATTCTAGATTTTTTTTTATTAAATTCTTTTATTGGTACATTGTAGGTATACAACACAATTACATTTCTCATTGGGAATTGTACCTTTACATAATGCATCTTG